CCGTTCTTAGTAAGCCATTGAAAAGGCAAATTGCACTGTGTAACCTTGGGATATTTCTCGAAGTTGTCATAAAAGTTGATGTACTCGTGTGCACGACTCTTCTTCACATGGCAATTGGAATTTATCCTCTCGTTGAAGTTTCCTGAACCGTACTTCTTTTCGAGAGCGAATACAGCTTTGACCTCATACAAATAACGGCCGTAACGGAAGGCGTTGTATAAAATGAACCTATCATTTGTTTGCATCCTTTGTTCACATTCATCTATTCTCGTTTTGCAATCATCTAATGTTTTCGGTTGCACACTTAGATCAGACAGAGTCCTGATTAAACCATGAGTTGCTGGTTGCCACTTCTCATGTAACTCCTTAATAATTTCTGATTCCTGACTTCCACTGCTAGTTCTTTTTCGTTTAGTCTTTTTAATAGGCACATTGAGAAATGATATTCTGGGTATTTTAGGGATATCATCTGTGTTTATCTCCGGGAAAGCAGTTTCTAGCTTTCTCATAACTTCACTATTCATCAAGGAAACATACACATTATCGTTGTGTTTAAGACATCTTACATACAGATCTATCCAATACTTCGCGTATCCATGTATTGCTTCATTTACGATTTTTACCATATGGTCTGTGTCGTCAGTGCCTAAATAGTTCATATTTTGAAAAACAAAAAAGCTTTCTTTAATTCTGTCATAGTCTATTAATTGAACAGAATCCATCTCCATTTGTTANAGTAAAGATTATTAATGTGTCCACTAACAAGTTTGGCCTCTAACTGGCTAGCTACTTCTAATGATGGAGTTACTTTAGGCATCCACATTGAAACATGTGATATTTTAAATTTTCCGTCATCAATATTACTATCTTTTAAAATGTAGTTAGCTGTGGCAGCCCTATCGAGTTGTAAAGTATGTTTAACACCTCTAAATACTGTATCGACATCTTTACAGAATCCAAATATAGAACTTAGAGGTATTAAAAGTGATATTTGTTTATCACCTGTTAATAGTTAATAGAAATTACTATGTGTGAATATTAGTTGTCACCTCTTTAAGTATACTATAGTGCACAGAGTCTACAACAAGTATGATTAGGCTATTAATAAAATTACAATTAACGAGTACCTAATAAATAAAGATTAACAACTAATAAAATCTTAATTACTGAAAATAACGCTACGATTAATTTACGGAGTCTGTACTTCGTCACAGGTATGCATTCTAGACTTAGGTTCTGCAGCGAAGCAGCAGAAAGAAATAAGAAATTAAATTAGTGCTTGCGAATTTTATCCAAATGTTTTTAAAATGCTACATACATAAATTTCACTTCATCGACTACATCATTGCATACAATACCGATTGGGATCTTACCATCGTACTTAACCAGAACATGCATCGCTTCAGTATTCATAGATTCTCTCATAAAAAATTGCCAATCACTAAAAGTCACCACAATTTCTTGCATTTTCTCCGCTGTCTTTTTTTTGAAAGTTTCAACACTACGTGGATCATATACCATTAGTTGCTGCACCACTTTCTCAACTTACTCTACGAATTGTATTTTAAATTTTAAATAATTAAGCGATTAGCGATTATATCAGCGGCACCGTTCAATTTAATTAATAAAAAGTAATTTATCATGGTAGAGCAGTGTTAACTTAAAAATAATGCAAATTCTCAATAAATAGGTGAACAACATCTAAGTAAATTGATTCTTTGGTACTATTTCATGATTCATAACAATCAAAGATATGATCAGACTAATATCCAACGGTGATCACTCTCAAGCAAATTGTAGAACAAATGAATGATAGCAAAATGTATCCGCAACCAAGTTCATTATACGAGTTCATATTTAATCGCAGCATTTCATCTGCAAACTGCAGCAGCAGCATCAAAGGGAACCCGCAGTCATTCTAACCTCTAATGTGCCTTTGGAATCCTTTCTTTTTGAAATCCGTTTAGCATGTCCGTTGTAAAATACAAAATTACTTCTAGTAACGGTCACGTTGGATACATTGCCACCAATTATTGATTCATTAAAAGAATCGACCTTTGATATTACGTTCTACAATATATGTATTGCTTAAAGCTATTACTTGAGTACTAGATAAGTTTATGTAGGCCTTTCTACTAGCACTAAAACGCCAACTGGTAAAATGCTTGCAAAGACAGATTGGCTTTCTACCTTGAAATTCAATATTACACTGAGCATTAATACTTAAAGTAAACTATCGTCCTGTGTGAAAATCTTGACCGTGATATTTCTTTTGATTACTATACCATATCACTCAATTTATGATACAAATCGTCCACTAATTTGTATGTTACATGGCCAGAAAAAATCCGATCACCTAGAAAAAGAATTAAAGCGAGCTCTCATTAGTTGTTAAAAAGTTAGAAACAATCCTCTCTACCTTTACATAACAATGTTTTATTTTCATGGTTACAGTATATCTTCAGTGCTACAGAATATTTCACAGTACAATAGAGGGTAAATGCGTATACTACATTGCTATTGCCGTTGAAAACTTTTAAACTAGTCAAATTAGAGATTCAAATGAAATCCAGTAGATCCAAAATAAGTCTGATTGCTCGTACAATTACTTGTAAAAATATTTTACTGCAAAAAATGGAGAAGTTGTCAGGACATATTTCATTTAGATTATCTGCCTAATTGATAAACTAGAGTTGCTTTAATCAATTTAGCACAGTTCTTTACTCTGACAGTTTACTTTATAGTCTACGGTTCTGTAGAAATTTGATGTCTACTAATACACAATAATAACAATAATAATAGTAACAATAGCTCTTCTAGTGGCAGTAAATTAGGAAGAATTAATAACTTAAACAATATAACTTATTTAATACATAGTATTTTCATTCTGTAATTTGTAATCATTATAAATTTCTATCGTTTACATCCAGAAATTCTATAAAACAACTTTCGACAATTGACAATAATATGATTCTAATTTCATTTCACTCTATATAGATTCTTAATTTTATGTAGGATTGCAATAAATTACTACCGTATACAGTATTTTTTAGCTATTGACGCTTAAACGCTTAACGTGTTAATAGTTGATGAAAAGCATTGAATCGATTAATTGACAATAGAATAAGTAAGTATCCAGCTTGAGTTCATGTAAGCTAATATAGGAATGATTATGGATATTTTTATCAATTTATTTTAGGCAAAAGATAAAAGACAATAGGTAGTTATGTTATTTAGGAGTCATCTTGTACCGCTTAAATTAACGGATAGTTTTAGTTAGTTAAGCCAGTTTATTTACTGACAAGAATAGATAGAATGCTATTATAATGTTTTATATAGTGCTGATGTTATTATAATTGATCGATTTACAATAATATGGAAGAAAAATGAGTAGAAAAAACTTTCAGTTTTATGACGTCGCCGTTTGTTTATGTTAAATGAACAGCAATGCAATACAGCTCTTACACTGTAAGAATAAAAGAACCAATGATTGGGAAATGATTGAGATTAGAGATAGTTTTTATTAAGGGATAATACTGTAACGCAATTCCGTTAGTAAAGCAGCCAATAAAATTAACGGTACCTGGAAAAAGAAAATGAATCGATTTTTTACAACTTACGTTTCAATGCAGATAGATGAATTGAAATAAACGCAATACAGGAGTAATAAATTCTGAACAAGTAGTACTAGAAAGGAGATTGCAATTACGAATGATTAAGTTGGAAAGAGAGGTGTGAAATTGAGCACACAAACTACAATATTATCGACGATTAAGTGGAAAAGCTCAAGGAGAGAATGAGGGTTGGTTATGATATATCAGGTAGATTACAATTATGTTCAAATATTAATCGTAAAGTTGTAAATTGAATAGAGGAAAAAATCTACATAAATTAGGGAGATCACAATTATAAAAGATTAAATCGAATATTTAGAAGGAAAATGAAGGCTGAGCACGTAATAAAACTACCGTTATTGTTAAAATTTTATTTAGGACAATTTAAGTTGAGTCATTGCCTGATATATACATAAGTAATTTAGCTGATATCCATTCCTACAACTCCTGTTTATTAAATTAAATTCGTTCTTTTTTTAAATCAATCGACTCAATGCTATTATGATGCTAATAGTGTTGAATACTATAGGAATCTTTTACTTATAGTAGATATCGATATTTAACACTCTGCAACTGCTAAACAAATTAACGAATTCAAAATAATTGGTGTACAATTTATGTGAAAATACTAGGGCTGTATATAATCGTTACTAAGGAGATAAAGTGAGTAGCAGAGTTTAAATAATAATGCCTGCTTAATTTGATTGTATTTGAGCCTTGTTTACTTTAACGGAATGGTTATAAATAATTATTTAATAACTTCTTAGTACTGTGTTGCTGATATTCTAATTTTGTGATCGCCTTTATATAGATTAGCTCTTCGGTGCATAAAATTTGTATGAAAAACATTAAAAACCTCTACAAAAATCTAATTAGTTCAAGTATCATGTTTTATTAAAATAATTTTTAGGCCATTTTAGCCTCAAAATATAAATAGCATCTTAAGCTATGATACAAATTATAATGATCGCAATTTAGTTACTAATCACCTTAACACCACTATTTCTATAGAATTTGTATCAATAATTGATAAAGAATGACAATCAAAAAGTTGCAATGCTAGCAGACGAGTGAACCTTATCCAATTTACAATATATTCAAAGGATGCCAAATGAAATTATAGCTAGGTAGTTGATAATATTTACTATTTTAGGCGTAATAGCTTTTAGCCTAAATTAACATTTATTGCACATACTAGTGAACTACTCGATCAAATAAATCCTATGAATCCCTAATTTACAATAATTAATATATAAGAGTGAGGTATGATTCTAATTTCTTGTAGTACACATCTTTGTTTCTGTTAAAACTGAAAATAGGGATAATTTGCCTAATGTTTCAATTATTTCAATTCGAGATTCGTAGTAGCATTACGATTAGATTTTATGGTCATAGCTATTAACCAAATAATGAGTTAGTTTGGAGCCCATAGGAAGACCGCATTAAAGTTATGGAAAACCGAAAAATGCAGAATGCTGTTGATTAATTATATTGAAAATATAATGACGGAGAACGATTGAAGGCTGCTGAGATAACGGTAATCAAGGTACTTTATTATTTGGCAATTTATTGAATAGCTGTATTTAATTAAACCTGTTGATTATATTATTGATATGAATAGAAATCATCCTATTGCGATGTTAATATTATGCTAATTTCTACTCACTAATAGATTTTATACGTAAGTAAGGATTTATGTAAGTTACAGTATTGATATAGAAGAGAACGTCCATCGAAAGTAATTTGGGCGCGCGATTACTTTTATTCGGTGGTAGATAACACCTATGCCATGATGCTTCTTTACAAATGCAATCCCACATTTCTAACTGATTGGTGTATGTCCGTAACCGAAAAGAACTTTAAAGTTTTGTTATAACGTAGAAGTTAGCCATCTCGAATGAAACTGGGTAATAGTTTCATTGGAAACGCAGTTTTTATTGAAAACTTTAATTAATCGTATGTTTTAAAGCAGTATTACGTCTAACTTTCAACACGTCATCGCCATCTTTTTCAATATACTGATAATAAGGGTGATCAATCTACTATGCCTGCTATCTTGAATAGTATTAAAACTCTACACGAAGAAGGTAGGAGTTTTAAAAAAAAATACAAATATATACTCGCACTGGCTTTATACAAAGAAGCTATATCTGAAATAGAATCGATACCCAATGGCAGTGATGATCTTCTACAACTTGAATACGATATCTATCTGGACATGGCTTACAGTTATAAGGAGCAAAGTGAGTGGAGCAAAGCTGATGAATGCTGTCGTAAAGGAGAGGAGTTGGCTAAGAAACTGCAAAATGAAGTCAAAATTGCGAAATGTTTAGATATGCAAGGAGAAACTAAACGAATACAATATTATATCAGTGGCGCTATGGATGATTTTAAGAAATCGCTTGAAATAAAACGGAGACTGTTAGGAAGCGACGATATTGAGGTCAGTAAGTCCTATAGTAACATTGGTACTGTAAACAAAATGGCTGGCACGTATGCTGAGGCTTTAGATATGTATACGGAATCGCTGAAGATTCAAGTAAATATTCGAGGCGAGAATCATCCTGATGTTGCTAGCTTATATTGCAACATTGGAGATATCTACCGGAATCAAGGTAAATATAATGATGCTCTGCCTATGCTTAAAAAATCGATCGAGATTGGTTCAGCAACAGTAGGTGATAATCATCCTAACGTAGCTAAGTCATATCACACTATTGGACTAATTTATTGGAATCAAGGTCAATATAAGTGCGCTCTGTCAAAGTTAAATAAATCACTTAAGATTCTACGAGAAATATTTGGGGAAAATCATGTTGATGTTGCTACCTTATATAACGATATCGGACTTGTCTATGATGCTCAAGACAAGTATAATGAAGCTCTATCAAAGTTGAACTATTCTCTCAATATTCGATTAGCAAGTTTTAAAGACAATCACCCTGATATAGCAGAGTCCTATCACAACATTGCAAGTGTCTACTATCATCTAGAAAAGTACGATGATGCCGTGTCAATGCATAACAAATCACTCAAGATTACACGAGCACAACTTGGTGACAACCATCCCTATGTTGCTGTGTCATATAACAACATTGCCCTTACCTATTGCAAACAAGGCAAGAGTGATGATGCTCTATCAATGTATAATAAAGCACTTAATATTGAACTATCAACACTTGGTGACAAGCATCCAAGTATTGCTATAACATATAAAAACATTGGTGATGTCTATCGTCAACAAGCCAAGTATGATGAAGCTCTATCAATGTATAACAAAGCACTCGAGATTGAACAAGTAGCACTTTATGAAAATCATCCAACTATTGCTGAAACATGTAGTAATATAGGACTTGTCTATAAGGATCAAGGCAAATATGATGAAGCTCTATCAATGCATAATAAATCACTCGATATCGGATTAGTAGCATTTGGTAACAATCATCCTAATATTGCAATGTCGTATTACAACATTGGAGAAGTCTGCCATAATCAAGAAAAGTATGATGAAGCTCTGTCAATGTATGAGAAATCAATTGAGATTATAAAAGCAAAATTTGGCGACAATCACTCTGATGTTGCCGAGATATATCACAAAATTGCGGCTGTCTATAAGAAGCAAGGCAAGTATGATGACAATCTTTTAATATTGAATAAATTACTCAGGATTAGGCGAAGAATGCTTGGTGACAATCATCTTGATGTTGCTACCTTATATAATAACATTGCTCTTGTACATCAGAGTCAAGGCAATTATGATAAAGCTCTAGCGATGCATAAAGAATCACTTGACATTCAACTAAAACAACTTGGTAAAAATCATCCAAATATCGCTGCAACATATAGCAATCTTGGACATATCCATAGTCGTCTAAGCGAGTATAATAGCGCTCTATCAATGTATAAAAAATTGCTCAATATCCAACAATCACAACCTTATGGCAATGATTCCGATATTGCTGAAACGAATAACTACATTGGACTAGCCTGTAGTAAGCTAAAGATGTATGATGACGCTCTGTCAATGTTTAATAAGGCATTGGAGATCTACTCAGCCAGATTTGGTGAGAATAATCCAACTGCTGCGGTATATTATGGTAACCGAGGAGATGTCTACAATGAGCAGGGTAATTATCGCCAAGCATGCATCTCCTACAAGAAATCGAACAGCATTTTGTGCAATCTCTATGTAGTTTATGATTAAAACAGGATGCCATACCTGCATCATTGATCATCCTGATATAGTCAGAGTTTAATATCATCGCGGTTTTCCCCTATTTATCTGTAATGTAACTTAGTATTGTGATTGTAGACTGTTAGCCATGTGTAGTATAATGTACGGTAGATATTTATCCTAAGAGATATTTGGTAGCTGTAACTATAGACTGTAGTGGTAGAGACTCTATGCTAGCGTACAGATGACTATATACAGTAAGCTGTTGAGTTACTAATATGGCTATAGGTAAAAATAGAACTGTAAATCATATATTAGGATATGGTTAATTCGTTGTACTTTGGCTGGTGTGAATAATGTCTACGTAAGTACTGTAGTCGTATGCATATTGGATTAATGATGGTCCGCAGTAGAATAGTCTTACTAAGAATAATTTAACTATGTATAAAATAAGGTAAAAGGTTGCCATGCGGATTGTAGCTGCGAATGCTACGGAAAGTATAAAAGCATGCAACTTTAGATTATTCTGTTAGTTCGTTCTAGAAGTCTTTAGTAGTAGTATTCGGCTAGAGTAGAGCTGTGTAGTTAATCTTTGTATAAGATTCAATAAAAGCCCTTATTTTTCTAAAATTAGGAATTTCGTGATTGGTATATATCACATTATCACATTGAATAATTTTCAGCTTATATCTGTACCATTCCGATGCAAAGTTTTCAGTGTATATTCAAGCTAATATAGATGCTTAGCGATACTAATAAAGTAATGTAATGACGCTGTATTATTGTATAATTTATAATACTGTTGTCATCATTATAGAGATAGTAATAATTATTACAAATATTGTCATTACGTAAGTACAAAGGATGTTCTAGTTTAAGTTTCGTAAGAAACTAAAGTAATCGGATAATTTTATTCTTACACTGGGTCCAGAATTTAATAGATGTTGTTCAGTAATTCCTGTTTATGATCTTCGGGTTATAAACATGCTAAGGATATAAGTAGTTAAGGTAACGCAATAGTGCTGTCTTGTTTCATACGTGAGATTATAGTCTGCAGTTGAAGACTTTTCCTAACGAGAATCCCGTAGTAAACTGTTTTACTCCAAATCACTTGGGATTAGAATTATTGGAAAATTAGAAAGGACAGATTTATTACAAGTAGTGGTCTATTAATCTCTATATATTGAAGATTCCCACTCACTACCACTCTGATACAAGCATTTTTTATGCCACAAGTTCTCCTAAAGCTATTTACAGTTAATTAATATTCTTGTAACCTGAGAATCATGTTTCTGTATATTCCACTTATAACTAATAGTTTAAGCGAAAAATATTGTAAAATGATTTAGTTTCAAGTGATAGTTACAAACTCTCTACGATATGCTGCATAAAATATTGCTCTGAGCGTATGGCAATATGTGATATAATGATAATGCTATAAATTTGTCTGATAATTGAATTTCAATCGTTAGAACTATAAATGCAATAACTCAGACATTGCTGTTGCATAGCATAACTTTAGATTCATAAATTGTTATTTAAGATAATTCTCTACCTATGTCCATAGGTCTTCAAGTACTTGACTGTAATTAATTATTAAGAATACTTGCAATATTACATAAGCTTTAATGATGTATTGGTAAATATGCACTGAAATAATCTGACTTGTCTAGAAACGATTAAGAAATAAAACAACATAGTACTGCATCAATTTCCTATACATTTGAAAAAGCATAAGAAAAAGTTTTGATCAAAAATTGGGAAAATGTCTACTACTATGCAATTAGGCTTTACATGGATGTAAAATTAATAACATACGTTTTATAGATTCATGATTGTTCATAACTAAAAAGTAGAGCTGAGTAGCCGATTGGTTGAGTAATACTGAATTGCGTGAATTAAGTTAAAAAAGCTGCAGTAGAGTAGAAAATTCATTTTGATCACTAAGTTTTTTGCAGGATAAAAGATAAAGTAGCACCGATACATACTGTATGTATAAAGACTAATATTAGAAGAGTAGTTCTACCTAATATTAGTGGCACTACCTCGGTTATGACAGTAAATAAGAGAACACTTTGCATATAAAATAATTAGAGTGAGTAACAACTTTCAGATGCGTAGTACGCTATCGAATTTTATAATGACAACTGTACGCAGCTCGCAAAAAGTTTCCTGACAGTAAATTACTGTTGACTATTGTAGCTATTGTCAAGTATTACGATACTTCCAATACTATTTTTAGTGTCGATTTATTGTACATCTTGGCTGTTCGAGGTTTTTGAAACGCCAAAAAACTTAGCTTACTAGTCTAGTTTGCTCTTTTCAATCGGCGCAACAACTGAGGTAGTTATTAAGGATCGATATAGGAGTATTTATTTGACGTTTGTGTTGCAATAGTAGTTATAACAAATGCTGATAAGATAGCCATGTTAAGGGGTATACAATCTTATCGATTAGATAGTCTCACTAATTGAAAGAAGCTTCAAACTATTAAGATAAAATATAATGTAATAAGCTTAGGTGATACTGCATAGAAATTCTATCGATAATTAATATATTCAACGATTTAGATTGCAATTGACTTTGAGGAACGGGCTTTACTCGGTCATGCTTCATCTCTTCATTTTTAATTACAGAACGAAGAAGATAAGTAGACTGTCCACAGATTCCATTATCCTGAAGAAAATGAAACCTATACATAAGCTAGATCGAAAATGTAAAAGAAACAGCAAATATGCTGTAAAATGCTAATTATTTCTCGTAATGGAGCCGCAACTGAAATGAAATAGATACTTAAAATAGCAATAAATCTTCGTCAGTTTTAGTATTATACTCATCTAGAGAATACCATCATGATATAAGCCTATTCTGCGGTGTTTGCAAGAGTTTAGTAGGAGTGCTGACGTAGGTTTACTATAACTGTAGTTTTAAAACTTCTACGCTCTCACTTCATGGTGAATTTGAATCATATTGCTATTGTACTTGTCTACATCTATTTGCTTGAATTATCAATCGAGTTTCAATAATGCAGTTAAATCTGGTCGAATGTACAGATTGATTTTATTATGCATGACAATTAAACGGGAAAATAGTCCGCTACATATAAAGTTAAGAGATAATAGTTATTGACGTTCTGTTTAATGTAGTAGAAAATTTTTTTAATACCATCAATAATTAGTTTTAACTTTTAACCTACGGTTATTACTCAGCTATCCTATTGTTTTAGTTACATCTGTAAATCCCTTACTTAAATGATTATGATTATTAAGAAATGCATCACTACGTATTTCTGCTCTCATTCGGTCTTAGCATATGACTATATTCTATTCTATCAGAGCCAAAGAACAGGATGAATTTTGAATTTAGGTATACAATCCAGATTAGACCCTGTAGTGAAAAAGAAATTAAGTATTGAACTATTGCTCGTAAATATAATGTAAAATATTTTACAAGAATTACTTACTTTTCTTCCTTGACTCCATCTTTCCATACTAAGCCGATTGCGGTTTTGCCGTCTTCCTTAACCAAAACATGTAAGGCTTCAGCATCCATACTTTCTACCATGAAAAATTTCCAATCGCTGAATGTCTTAATAATTTCAGCCATCTTTACATTTACTTTTTTTTTGAAAATTTCAACTCGATCGGGATTATGATCCTTTATATTCGTCACTATTTTGGCTATGTAATCTAAGAATTATATTTCAAATTTTAAGGATTGTTGCCGATATTAATGATTACAACTTATAATAAAATTAACTTACAAATAATTATCTTAGTTAAATGGTATTTTATAAAAAGATTTTATTACAACGTTTTAAGAATAGTAGAGCAATAATAATTACTACAAGAATCTAGTCTAAAATCTAAAGTATTCCGAGCTCTAAAGTGAGGTGAAGTCTCTAATAATTATTGTGAGCTGATCGCCGCAGTTTTTAAATACATTTCATTAAATCTATTTATTTCAATATACAATCAGAATTGAGTCATCAAACAGAATACGGTACTATTCCTTAAACAGAATATCATTATCTTCAACTATCCGAATCATTCTACTTAGGATATAATTACTCTTCTGTTAATGTTCAGCACCTTTCGATGTTGGGCATCTTTGCAATTACTATACAGTGTTTTTAGTCACATAAATTTTGTACCGATATTAGTCAACTGATTAATATTAGTCATCGGCAATTTCTGATATAGTAGTTAGCAAGCATCTTATATTAGAGTCACGATAATAGCTGTTCTTAGAAATCTACCGACATTAGATATAGCTATAAACATAATCAAATACAGCTATCTTTATAATCAAATATGGGATGTATCACTAAATAACTATAGCACCTTTCCACTCAATTAAAATAAAGTAATTTATCACGGTAGAGCATTAACAATTAGCCAAGACAGCAAACTCTTTATAAAATATATGCACACTATGCAAATAAATCAATTTCTTTGTACTATATCACGATTTCTGATAAATAAAAATATGATTAGACTGCTGTCGATCAATTCTCAAGTAAATCGCAAAGAAAACGCGCGAAAGCAAAAATGTATCTGACATCAAGTTCAGCATGCGATTTTATTTTTATTCATAGCACTTCATCTAAAGTATCGCCGGCAATCGATATTTGTCTTAACCTTTTATGTACTTTTTAAAATCTTTTACACTGGAAAAGCCCGTTTCTACAAGTCTGTTTTGGAGTACGAAATCGATTCCAGTAACGGCAGCTCCAGCTGACTCTACTTTGCCAGCGCTGCTATTCCCAATAGCTGCGTCATCAATTTCTCCTGCTTCTTCTGTAATAACCTATAAGATGCATACTCCGCAAAGTTACTATTTAAACACGAAATTAGATCATGCATCTCTTCTATATCTCTAAAATACTGACCTACGAAATGCTTTATAAAACAGATTCATTTTCTATCTAGAAACGATTTACTGTCGTGTATGAGCATTATGATCTTCGTATTTAATTCGAGTAGCGTACTATACCTTGCCTTTCAATTCATAATACAAGTCGTCCACTAAAGTGTACAGGTTACGATCAGTAAAAATCGTGTTATCTAGAAGAAGAATTAAACCATGCTTTCTTTAGTAGCTGAATAAATTTAAAACATTCATCTCTATTTTTACTCGACAATGTCTTTTTTTGGCCATACAGTAACTTCAATGCTATAATCGATAGTTCAGTACAGACAATACGTATACTACATCACTGTTACCATTAAAACTATTAAATAAGTAAAATTACAAAATCAAATAGCATTCAATAGATCTGAAAAAACGGCCAATTACTAGCTTTAGTTTAAAAAATGCATTTTTAACACAAAAAGAAATAGAAGCAGCATAAACACATTTCTTCTTAAATTATCTGATTCATTGATGCAATTTGAGTCATAGCCTTAAACCATTTTTATTTATAATAATTTTAATAAAGTGTTAAATCCTAACAGTATACGTTCAGTTTGTACTCTATGTAGATGATTTCTGTTGAATAGATGATCCCATTTTTTAGGCGAAAGAATACTGTATACAAACAAATATCTCATTGATTTATTTCATCAGCGCCAATATGCTGTATGACAGGGTATTATTAAAATAAATATCTTCCCAATTGAATTAAATACTCGTATATATAGCACTCAAAGCAGTAATAAATGCTAACACTCTGCACTGATTGTAAAGTCTAGAGCGTTTCTGATTTCGTAGAATAGTTATAAAGTACAACCGTAAGAATATTAGTCATCCATTAAAGCACACAATCATCAATTGATTGTACCCGCAAAATATAACTTATCTACTGTAGATCATAAGCATACGCTAAAGTAGGCAGTATGACAGCAAACATTTTTACAAGTTAATTTCTCCAACTATGCGTAAGAACACAGAAAAACTCACTGATGCAATAAAGCATATTACATTATCCGTAACATTTCTAATTTAATGGGAAGAATAGTAGAATTTTGCTTCATGAGTTAATGTAATGAATTCATTACATTGATCATTTATTACTAATCTAATTTTAAATGCTATAGGTTTTATTATCCTAAACAAAATTACGGTTGATGCAAAAATAAGTTAAGGCGATTAATGGCACGCCCAACTTGATCTACTCGCAAGGTATGCTTCGCTGTCATTATTATCTCTCATTTTATGAAGAGAATAGTAAAATTTGGCTACGCAAGTTTATTTAATGTGTTAACACGAATTAATTATTATTAGTCTAAATTAAAATGCAAAAGTCTCTACCATCCAAGATGAAATTGTCCCTTAATACGAGAAATATCTAAAGACCTATATACGCCCAACTTGATCTACCTGCAAGGTGTGCCTTGCTCTCTTTAACATCTCTGATTTTATGACAAGAACTGTAGAAATTTTACTACAGAAATTTCTTGAATGACCTTCTCATTAGTCTAATTTAAAAAAATTCGCATAAAATCCGATACGCTTCACTTTCCTAGTATGAAATTGTTGTTTGATGGGAAAAAGTTAAACGTGATAACGTGCAAAACTTGATTAACTCTTACTCTTGTTTGTAGTTTAAGTTATTACGGATAAACTAAACAATTGTCTAATTCAGTAATTAATCATTATCTCTGCAACAGTATACAGTCATGTACTATCACGATCTGGTCTACATGAGAACTTACCACTTACGATATCTTTAAAGATGATCATCGTTAATGGAAGGATTGAGAAGACTTTGATTCGAAATCGCGGGTAAAATCGACGCTGTCGCGTGGAAAGAATTTCTGAAAATTAAACTTTACAGAGGTATACATGCGTTAAAAAGACTATGGTAAATGATGACAATTGCAATTAGTAACCATAAAAGTAAACATGGTGAACCCTGATGTTTGGAAAAACTATCGAAATCACATACAATAAAATCTCTCAAGGGATAGATTTGTACAATACACATCATGAAGCTAAAAGTCTAAAATCTTATTGCCTCTGGCCGATAGCCTTAAGTACGTGATTTGCTATTCACGAAATTAAATTTCAATTGAGTCAAGTAATTAAACATATTAGTATACAATGGTGAGTATAGAAGTGACTATGTAACAATAATTAAAGAGCAGCTAGTTGGCTTACTGAGTTAGTCAGTCAGTGAATCGGCAGACTACTGAGCGAATTGCTCAAAAAGTAAGTTTTTACTAGAGCAGTAATCTGTGAAATATTAAAAAGCCTACATTCTGTAACTCGTTCGAGTATTTATAAAAGAACTTGTCGGAGTTTCATAGCTCTAGGCTAATTTTCGATATACCAAGCAAGATTAGAGTAAACATCGACAGCTAATTATAAAATGTAACCATAGTAAAATGCAATACATAAGAAAATAATTCAAGTTACAAATGATAAACGCTCTCAGCGGGTAGATTTGTACAATTCTGTTATTTCTAAAGAGTAATAAGCTCTCGATCTCAATGAATCGGCCTAGCCACGGCCAGATTTATTGTTTAGCAGTAATTACTCCATCCTAAAGTAATGCCACACAAAACGTACTAGTGCGTCGAGGGTTCCTTGAATACAATTGAATTAACAGAAATATATAACCACTTCTATAAATCAGGTACAATATAGTTTTACATTCATTTAAAATTACACCCAGTCAAACAGATAAGAACCAGTTGTCCAATCAAAATATGACAATTCATGAAAATGTAACAAACAAGATTTCTTCAAGCCCTAGCCTTTTTCTTTAAATTGCTGTTACTTATTATGATTTAAGATTTTCAAGTAACTGTTATAAATCAACAATAGCAAAGCCAATCATTTTATCTAGGATAAGTATTAGATGTTACGATGTGCTATTAACAAGCGATGTTATATATTCTCATAATTAATTTATACAGCAGACATAACGTAAACAGCTTAGCTAAGATGCAGTATAATAATCCATTTTGCAAGCATATAAAAATACTGTAAAAAGCAATTAGCAGTATGTTATAGTCGTCACAATTATACATCAAATGTTAAGAGTCTAAAATCTTATTGCTCTGGCTAGTAGCCTTAAATACGTGAATTGCGGTTCACACAATGAATAAAAGTTCAGTTGAGTCAACTAATTGAACACATCGGTACGCAATGTTATCTAAGCAAAGAAGCGACTAACTAACAACAGTAAGGAAGCAGTTAGTTAGCTTACTGAGTTAGTCAGTTAGTGAATTGTTTGCCTACGATACTGAACAAATTGTTTAGAAAGTAAGTTTTACCAGTATAGGAATCTGTGAAATAAAAGTAATATATTTTATATCGCGTTTGAGTATTTATCGGAGAAATAACCGAAGTGTCGTTGCTCTTGGTCTATTTTCCGATATACAAAGCAAGATTTTACAGAATAATGACAATTAATCGTAAACCTAAAAGAGTAAAACCCATGCATAGAAAATATTTTTGTAATTATATACAATAAAGACTCAGCGGGTAGACTTGCACAAAATACATCCTGAAGTTATTGCCTTAGGCTTATAGCCTCAAATGCTGTTACGTTTCTAGTAACATAGGATAGTACACCTGGGTCTAAGGATAAATTATACTTTATTTAATCAGCCTTGGCATGCTAACACTTATGTTAACCGAAAATCCCCCGCAACTCAGCGTTACCGCTGTATTTATACCTTTACCTAGGCGCGTACAATGTATCACAATAGCTGATACCGAGGTACATCTGTACCGTACACTACAACATTTCAGTTTTGCTAATGCTACTGTACCTGTACGTAACAAATGCGCAAATCGCAGTTCATGAAATAAGTAAAAGTGCAATTGAGTCAACTAATTAAATATCAGTATGCAATAATAACCAAAAAAAGAAGCGACTAACTAACAACAGTAAGGAAGCAGTTAGTTAGCTTAGTGAGTTTGTCAGAAAGAGAATTAGTTGACTACGGTACTGAGCAAATTGTTTATTAACACCTATAATATTCATTTAATAATCAATATCTATCCATTAGCAACTAATGGTAAATAAAATCAATACAGTATCACGGACATCACTCCGTGACACTTCCATATCAATTGATTTGAATATTACTTTCCGTCTAGCTGGTTGATTAAAATATCTTACCGTCCCAACCATAATTTTAAACTGATTTTACGCCCTCAACAGGACCATTTAAAATCGTTTTTAGAATATAAGGTAATGGGTTAAAGGGCTATTGTAATTTAAAATCTTAAACCGCTTTCAATTATTTGCTCACTTCACTGATCATAAGTTCGACGACGAATTAATAGTTAAATGCATAGAAGAATATTTCTAGTAATTAGACTTGTTGTTTAGAAGTGGCGCATAACTCTAATTTAAGCTTAGCAATTCAACAGTATTTTATTTTCAAGTTATGAACGTTAGTTTAGATGATAAAGTGCTCAATATCGGAAAGGTATAGACTATTGATTAAAATTATATCTACTAGCATATTGCTATGATAAGTTACGGCAAAATAATCTATTGACGATTGATAAATAAATGGATGCATAGGAGCATTGAACTTCGGTGGGCAAGAAGAATGTTTTTTAGCCCAAAATGTCTCCATAAATTGTGCCCTACTATAGCTTTATCATATTTTTCCTTACAGAACAAAGTTTATGCTACTATTTGCACGCATGTTACAATGAATTAAAGATAGATGTTCTTCCAGTACTATCAAAGATATGTAAATAAGCAAACATTAAGTGTAGGATTTACCGATACGCTACATTCTAATTTGCTATATTTAATATCATGACAACTTATAATTTAAGTGTTGGTATCACATATTAATTAATAAGGATCATTAGTTTGGCTGTATAATTATGAAGAGCAATCTGCCTGAATCTAAGAATCTGACTTGCCTTTAATAGTACCAGAAAAATCTTGGTAAGCAGCGTAAGTTTAAAGCCATTCTATTTTACTAAAATTACGAAATTTGCGAAACAATCTTGTTACAGATCTATATTATTGGAGACTTTGATATCAAATTCATGGCTAGAGCAAGATGATAACTACTATTGAACTCTTTGTTTTCTCTCCAATCTTAGTATGTAGCATGCTTTGTATAGACATGAAATTA